ATGTCATGAAGGTTTAGGTTTATGGTTAAGAATGCTCAATGGTTTTGATCATTTTAATGCGTCCATTTTCGGAGTATTGTAGCACGTGAGCTGCACTTGACTCCTATAAAAGGTTTCACTGTTGTATGTACATTCAGTTACTGTGAAGAGTTTTCCACATATTTTACTTTGGCATTGTTTCAGGGTACCTCAGTATTTAATGATTATTTATGTGTTCTATGCAGTACTGTATTTAAATGTTAAAAGAGTTTTTATGTCGAATGTTTTCTCACATTAAAGATTTTGTTTTGTGTTTTTTATTATTAAAGGGTCTATCAGTAGGAAAGCACTAAGTTTATGGACTAAAATTCAGGGTTCGATTCGCCGTAGTGGACACATCACATAAATCAATGTGGTTTTGCTCTTAAATTAACAAAACAAACAAATATTGTTAAAGGGCTTATAATTTTATGTATTATGTGTAATTATCTTCGTTAAAACATTATTTTTAATGTATGATTTTCTTTGTTTAAGGGTATTTTCGTGTATTTTCTTTGTTTAAGTGATTTCCTTTGTTCTTGTTTTGTAAAGTGTAATTTTGTTAAATCATTTCTCCTAAAGGGGATGGGTGAACTGTGTAACTATTTTTATATTATTGTTTAATATTGTTGTTTTTGCCATTTTACTTATTAGTGTTGTTGGTGGGGCAAGTAATTTTACTAGGGCAAATACAAGTTACCCTATTTTCTTGAGTAACACACATTAAAAGTTTGAATCTTTTTACAGTTTTAGAATTAGGGATGGCTAGGTCAGTCTTGAAGTAAGTGGAGGAGGAAAGTGGACGCAGGATAGTACCACGTATTTTCTACACCTGTAGTTAATATGTAAATTTATATTTTTATTTCATTCCAGTTTGGGCTGAGAAATTGTTCAAGTAAACACATCTAACTATTTTTGATTCTACACCGACATGTGGATTCACTAATTTGCCATTTTTCTTTATTCATACTTTTAGTAGACTTAGAGATTTTGCTGGGATTTTAATAAATGTTTTGGTTTATAACGTAACTTTAACTTACGATGAAAGACTTTGTTTTGTATTTTACTTAAATGTTTTAGTGTCATAGTTTAACTTAACCGGACTGAAGAACGAATGCCCACAAATGTTTCAATTTCATTCTCTCGTGTGCCCCCCCCCCTCCCAGTGGCACAGCGACATGTCTGCGGACTTACAACGCTAAAAACCGGGTTTCGATACCCGTGGTGGGCAGAGCACAGATAGCCCATCGTGTAGCTTTGTGTACAACTACAAACAAACCTTTTCTCGCTGGTTCAGCCCATTCACCACAGACCCACTTTAATTTACTTTCTTTGTGTTTTGTAACTGTGATTTGTGTGTTAGAAGAGATTGTGGTAAACCTTTTTTTCTGTGTTTCGACTCTTTCTCCACGATAAGCTCAGTCACTGTACAGAAATATATACAAACTCATACTCTGTAACTTGGTATTCTTTGAACCTCCAATTAGTAGGCCTAACTAATCCACAGGAAAAAAAAAGTGTACTGGGAAATACCACAAAGCAAAATAAACAAAACTATTAGTTTATTTTCTATTCAGAGTAAGTCGAAAGTCTGTGCATAATGAAAATGCCAACGTGTTTACAACAATAAAACAACTACCATACTGGACTCTCTTTGGCACAGGTCTCAATAATTTCGGAAATTAAATATGTATTAAATTATATTACAGAAAATGTTACAGGAATACGAGTCTTGACTACTTTACTCTTGTCACAGTTTAAATAACTGTTAACTTCACGCTTCCGTAACTAGTTTAGAAAATGTCTGCAGTCAATTAATTACATTAAGGTTTTTTTTTTTTTCATTTCTATGCAGGTGGTTATGAAATTCTTGTAAATTGGATGTTGACAGGTTGTAAACATATACTAATCCTTCTGCTTAAATACAGATTACATACAGCATTAACTATTTCACAGCAGCTTCTGTCAGATTGGCCCTGTGTGTGTGTGGTTGTCCACCCTAGGATGTGGCAAGCCCATCCCAAGAAGTGATATGAATACTTGTGCAACTTGATTGAAAAATAGGGTTCTCTGCCTTGAATTTGTCATCTGTAATAGTCATTGTGACGTAGTTAATCTATGGATTATGATATGACTTATTTGGAAATCCCTTTGTCTGACTTGAAAGAGCAGTATAACATAATTTGTTCCGTCCTCGTCCTGTGAAGACGTTTTTGGAAATCCTTTCCATCCCAAGCAACCAATTTAAGTATAAACAGCTAGTATCCACCTATTTATTCACTTATTTTTCTTTTGCTGTCCGTGTTCAATTTTTCCAGAACCTGTGATTTGTGAATAATTTAACATCTATATACCTGAATAACACAGCTGATTTACGTAGTAATGACAGAAATAGAGAGAGAAAAAAAAATTTATCTATGTAATCTTATTTCAGTAGTTTGGCTGTTAAATACAAAGCTACACTATAGGCTATCTGTGTTCTGCCTATCGAACCCCGAATTTTAGCGTCATAAGTCTGCAGACTTACCACTGAGCTACTGGGGGTCTTTATAAGCAATACAGGTTATATACATACATACAGGTATAAAGTAAGTGATGGAGTAAGGGTATATTCCTGTCGTGTTAATAACCTGAGGGTTCCAAACAAAGTAATTCGGTATGTTCTGTTTGTTGATCCAGTTCAAGTGAAATCTTTCTTTCTCAATTTGTAAATATGTTGTTGCTGTTTTTGGCACAAGACTACACGGTGGGCTATCTATACTCTTTCTACCGCGAGGAATTAGAGTATTATAAGTCCATAACCTTATCACTGACCCACTAAGTGACTTCGAGGTATGTTGAAAAATAGAAACAACATCGTATTCGTGTAGTCATAATGTTACCAATTTTCCAGTTGAAGGCTACATTACTGACGAGTGGCTTTGGTGTGTTTTGAATTTCACGCAAAGCTACACAAGAGCTATCCGTGCTAGCCATCCCTAGGTTAGGGCACTCGACTCGCGATCTCAGGGTCACGGGTTCGAATACCCGTCACACCAAACATGCTCGCCCTTTCAGCCGTAGGGGCGTTATAATGTGACGGTTAATCCCACTATTCGTTCGAAAAGAGTAGCCCAAGAGTTGGCGGTGGGTGGTGATGAATGTCTTCCCTCTAGTCTTACACTGCTAAATTAGGGATGGTTAGCATAGATAGCCCTCGTGTAGCTTTGCACGAAATTCAAAACCAAATAAACCAAGTTTAACATCACAAAACGCTTTTGGCGACTGAAGCTTTAAAAGAATACTCTTCTTATCAAGTCATGTTGGATTGTATTTCTTCCAACTTATGAAAGTTTCTTTTCTTTCGTGTTTTAATATGTTGATACTATGGTTGTAACACTTTTATACAATAAAAGGTAATATATACGTATCCAGGAAAATACCAACATTTTAATAGGTTGTTTGTGTTCAAACTTAATGGTTCTATGTGAACAGGATGTATCCAGCTCTGAATGACACTAATCCCATCCCAAGACTGTTAAACATGGTATGGGCTAGTGCATGTGTTTTTTGTTTGTTATGTAGCCAGTACACTAGATAACTCATTAATTATTCTTTGATAAAATATGTGGCATGTTGTACATATACAAAAATATATATACAAATGAAACTCTGCTTTCTCCATTAAAGAGACGTGCATAACATAGCATTCTGGAAACTAACGGCAAAGCTTGAACTTGATTATAGTTCCATGTGAAGCCCTAGCCTTATTTGCATCAGAATTACACTTGTAATAATCTAGTTCCCAACTGCACTTTTACAGAGAAGCCAGCCTTAAAAATAGTCTTAGTACCTGCAACAGCTTACATCACTGTCATTGTTTTACTTTGTTAATACAGCTTTCTGTTGTTTTTTTTTTAAATGAAGCAGTTGTGTCCAGTCTTATTCCTTTTTGGACAAGTTTGAATTATTCACACTGCAAGCTTTTCCTATAAACCTTCTGTTTGCAGACTTAATATTTTTTTATTTTAAAAGTGGCAGGAATTTAGTTTTAAAAGAAAAATTCATCAAATTATTCCCAACTGGGGTGTGCAGAGATATTAATATCCCCCTTCACCCCACTTATGTTAGTTATGTATACCAAAAGTGAACTTTGTTTGTCGTATTATTTGAGGAAGGTTTCTGATTTATACCGTGAGTTTGAAATTCTTGAAACTTAACAGGATTTAAAATTTTGATAACAATATAAAATTTGAATATAGACTAAGAGTAACAATTGTCAGATGGCAATAGGTAAAGGTGAAGGCTGTGGTTGTAGAGGTGGTTTGCAACATATTTTGACAAATAACCCAAGCCCTATGACAAAGTCACAAAGTGGCAGAGATCTAAAAATCCAATGAATTGGCTATGATCAACAAATACAATGCCACAGAAACTGATGTGGGAGAAAACAGGAGAGCCCCGAGTAAACCTACTTTCACAATACAGGCACTGACTAGTCCACCTATCCTGTAATCAGCCTAAAAAAATCATAACATTTAGTTTAAAAAACAAAATGGCATCAATATGTCTGTGTAACTGTGTGGTTGATGTTTAATATGATGTCTCCATTTGCTTGCAGTACAAGTTGTATGGTGATAGCAGACTTAATACTTAGACACTGGTTTGTTTTCACTGAGAATACCACCACTATACTTAGAAATTGAGATATTTTATCTTTTAATTTTATTGTAATTTTTATTATCTGCAAGAGGAGGAAATAATTTGTAGTTGTATATACATTTGAAAATTAATCATTACTTATTTTTTATTATAATCTGCCATTAAGGAAAAGTGTTCTGTTTGTATGTATAGACTACTAAACTAAAACTATTTGTTAAAGCTCTCTCTCCATACTTAATTCTAAAATATAATAATTTATTGCCAGTAAGCAAACTGGTAACTTAAGTAAGTTCATGTTTCAATTGCATTTTTCAACTGTAAAAATAACTAATGAAACAAAATTGTAAGGTAATAAAATTTGGCTTTATTCCACTTTCGCCTACTGTACAGGGGAGGTCAATGTACAAAAATTGATCATGCATCTGATAATTTATCAACAAGAACAAGACAATAAAATATTAGGAACAAAAACAACATAAATGGCACTAATACACAGAATCTGTTAATTCAATTTTCTGTCCATGATGAAAGCATGAGTTTCACTCTCACAGCTTACACCTATTACGATCAACATTCCTTTCAATTCTGATCTTTAGAAATGAAAAACAAGTACACACTGATGTTCAAGTCTTTTCTTTATTGCACTGAACCACCAGCCTCTTTCCTGAAAAGCTGGTGCCTGATCATCATCACATAAGTGGTCAATTTAATGTTCAAAAAATAAGTTAAAACTGTAAAGATCCACATGAACACACTGTATCATTTGAAAGAATGGGTTATGAAGAAAAACAAACAATAAATGATCTCCAAAGTCTCACAGACAGTGCATTTCTATACCTTTGTATTTCAAATATCTTAAAACAATCTTACTATATCTACCATTATTAAAATTAACCCTCATTTTTTTATTTTTCTTAAAAGGGCTTTAGAGAAAATATCATTACACATCAAAAGCAAAAGAGACAAGAAGTCAATCCTCACAGAAAAAAAGAAAAATCTAACTACAAAGATTATGAGAAAAACACTCACAGATAAGAAAGCTAAACTTCTCTCACTGACCAGAGTACACTCATCAAAATAAGAACAGACAAAAGTAAAAAGGGAAAAATGGTAATTTTTTAATGAACAGGCATCTTGGGTGGTAACGCTGTTGAGTGCAGTAAATTATTGTGAGACAATAAACTATCACATTCCATCTTTGTGGAAAATGAAGGCCACATTCGAAGAGTTATTAATTTGAGGAATTTTCTAATCACAAGAAAAAAATAACAAGAACAACAATAATTATAAGCTTCTTCAATAAAGTTTGTATGGGATGGGAAGTAGTTGTAATTGTAAATTAAACTAACCTGTTCACATAATTAGTATATAGGTATAATGCTTTCTTGTGTTCTCTTTACGCTTTCAAATAAAGATTTTTGTTCTGGTGTTCAGTTGTTCGTGTGAAGGCCGATTTTTGTTGGTGACACCAAGACCCTGGAAACAAAGACGACACGAACAAATAACACCACAGTTTAGCAGAAAGAAAGGCTATACACCCTAAGTAAGAGATCAGCAGCAAACTTTGGCTTTCCTACTTGCCAACAGTTACAGGGTGTAGAGCTTCTATGTCAACAGCAATCTTTAGTGTTTTTTCTTTGATACAACAGCAGGAGAAACTGAAATAAAAGCGAAACACTAAAAGTTAACAAAATAAAAGCTGCTTCAAAAACCTTTGGCAATAAAGCCATGCACTATGTTAAGAACTAATTATAAAAAAAAAAAGAGACAAAAAACAAACATTTAGAACTTAGTCAGAACAAAATCTATGGCATTTAAACTTGACGAACTAAATGTTAAGATCTAGAACTCAACACTCATTATAGCACTAACTCTTAACAGAACTTTGTGAAAAAATAATTTAAATCAATATTCATTATATTTGTTTAATTCAAATCTCCAAGTACTTGATAAAAACCAGTAATGTTTGTGGAAAGCATCAGCTGTTTATGCATTTTTTATTACAACTGTTAGGCTTACTGGTTTCCAATGCTTGTCAACTTTAAATATTTGAAATGTAAGTTTAATATTAGAAGTTACGAACTGGTATTCAGGAAATATAAAATATAACTATAAAACATTCAAGAAACTGTGAACACAGCAAGATTTTGATGAACTCTTCATCCAAAGTTATAAAATGTTTGTCCAGCAATAATTTGATTTGAAATGTAAAAGTAAGTTAAAGAATAAATGAATATATATATAGTGTGTGTGTGTGTGTGTGTGTGTGTGTGTGTTTATGTATCTCTAAATGATCCTGATTCCACTGGGCTATGAAAAAATGTATGACTTATTCAAATAGTAGCATTTGTGGTTCAGAGAAAAGTGTATGAAATCTGACTTTTTGGAGTAATAATTTTCAAAGTTCTGGTAAGAATATACATTTCTAACAAACATGCAAGATGTTTAAAAATAATTTAAATAACAAATTAAATCCTCCACAGTAATCCTAAAACAAAAAAAATAAAAAGTTTATTATTAGTATGAGTCAGTTACACTAATAAACATACAGTATGAGAAAAAAAAAAGTTTCCTTGAAGGCAGTGTACTCTACTTTGAACATATAACTTATATTTCATCTATTAAATTGTTAGTAATTTTTTTATTTTTTAACCGATAAAGAACAACGAAATATGTTTTAGTGCAAACAATAATAATTATTTCAAAGTTTTTGATTATCTGTATCTTTTCTCCCTTTATATTTACCTTACATTATTCCACTACTAGCATCGCCAGGAAAATATATGATGCATCTAAAAGCTTCAGCACTAGACTAAATCTTGCAGAAACATTAGAGTATTTAATTACAGCAGCATCACTTGTTTCATTAGGAAACAAAATTATTTCATTGTTTTACTTCTAATGTAAGCATTGATTAACATACTGATGATACATCTATTTCAAATACTTTAATAACTATCAATCATTCACAAGTTTCATTACTGTTTTAAGAAATTATAGGTGAAAAATACCTGAAAAAAAATTAAAGTTTGTTTTTTACAGCATAATTAATAATTATATCACATCTTTTTTTTTCATTACATTGTCAGTTAAAAGCAGGTAAAGGCTCGTATTTTGTTTATTCTTAGCAATAGAGGCAAATATGTCAAAGAAATTAATGCCAAAATAAGACTTAAAACATACATCTTTTGACCTTATAAATGCATTATACTGAAAAATATACCATAATGAACATTTGACATGTTTTAAAATACTAAATGAAACTAAAGTATAGGCATTAGTTTTCCTGTTGAGGCTCATGCACATTAAACACACACACATCATGTGGTATGCTCTACATGACATTGAAGGTGATGAATATATTTTGCTACTAATAATTTACATTTGTATAATTGATACTTGAAACCATTAGTATTTGGTGAAACACCATGATTACAGAATTGAGGAGAAAAACAAAGACAATTGTACATTTCACAAAAACCTCATTTATTAACAACCATGTTTTCACCAGTAAATGCATCATCAGGTACAGACTGAAATGGTTTGTAAACAGGTTTATATATGTTAAACCGAAAAACCAGAATAATCTCCCCACTTGTCTTAAGATTGATGTCTAGGTTTCTTCCAGTTATTTGAATTAACATATTTACAAAACAATTTCAGTCTGTACCTGATGATGCCTTTACTGGTGAAACCATGGTTATTAGTAAATGGAGTATTTGTGAAACCTATAATTGTCTTTGTTTTTTTCCTCAATGCTTTAATTCACTTTTGGTGCCCTAAAACTACCTTCCAGTTATTTGCTCAAACACAGCACATTTTCTTAAAACCTATAAGTTAAATTTTCCTTTTAGAACACAAGAAATTAAATTCCTCTCCACTCTTGTGGTCATTCTTTCTTTTCAAACATAAAAAAAATTTCCTTAAAAAAGAAAAACAATAAATATCTGTTAAAAAAAAAGAATAGAAAAGGTAATTTTTGGCTAGTGCTTTTTGATATGACTTATCTTGCTTAATCTGTAAGTTTTAAATTATAATGACCTGATGCAATTTCACACTGAAATAGCCTTGAATTGATCAAATATTTTTTCTTTGCATAGGTTTTACTCTTCTGTGTTAAATACCAAAACTTAATGTAAATACTCATTATGATAAACTCAATGATGTATTTAATTGCATTATATCATTAAAGAAACCAGTGTCAGATTAAACTCGAAACATAACACAGGAAGATAAATTATGAAAAGTTAATTTAAACCTACACATTTAAGTTCTTTCCAGAAATAAAAATGGCAAATAACATTATTTGGCCCTCTAGTGATTAGTGTTTGTTGTTGTTCAAACACAATAAAATATTCAAAACATTAAACAAAGGATTTTTTCCTCTCTCTCAGCATACAACCAATTTGAATATTTAACTCCCTTGTGAGTAGGAAAAAAAAATTCTGCTCAATCACAAGTAATTTATTTCAAATTCTAAGTGCTTATTATCCTATCGTTTAATGTTGAAAAAAAAAGTATTATTGGACCTATAATGGTCACTACTCAGCATTGTTGAAACATTAACATCTTCAAAATTACACATTGAATTTTTTATTAAAATGCAATAAATGATGTTACTTGGTCATAGAATAGCTGCTGTTACTTGTTCAACTGATAAAATCTATACAATGCCTTTGCATTTCAACAGAAAATCCTTTGAGTAAAAGGAAAGAAATTGCCTTTTCTCAGTCTCCTAATGACATGTGTTCCTTTCTATTTATTTGCTTTGACAATACCCTGTGCACAGTGGAACTTTGAGTGTTTTGGCTATACTTAGATTATACTGTAAAAGTCTGACAAATGTTTTTTGACCCTAAAAAGAAAAACTAGTAATAGAAAAGTATCTGCAAATGAACTGTTCCATCTGCTAATATAACAAAATCTATTAGAAGCCACTGGGATAATATTAGCAGATATATAAAATTAAACCATTGACTATAACAAGATTATAAAATAAAACATGGTTTCTTCAAAGCATATTCTTCTATGGTTACAAGCACACAAGAACTTTGAAAAACTGGTTGAGGATTAGAATTACCCAAAATCTTTACTCGTACTATTTCATTTAAACTACTCCATAAAATATAAAGGTACGAAATGAAAGTCAACACCATTATTTTCCAAAATGAGAAAGATATTTTCATAGATATAAGTAGGGTTTTACATTTTTGTTATAGGTAGATAACAATTCTCACTGCAATGAATAATATAAAGTTACATGGGAAACCAACTTCACTGTTGTGAAGAAATAAAAGGTTGTTATTGATAAACTATAGTTGTCCAATATATTGAGAAATGTCAGATACTTTTGCTATTGTTGCTTTTCTTCAAGGCTCTACTAGTAAAAGTAATTGATTGTACCACTACACACTGAATAAAAATTATGGTAACTGTGGGTAATAATGGTAAAATAAGAATGTTTTTAAATATGTAATTTGTTATATACTGTAAAACTAATCTTTAAAAAGTGATACTAAATTTTTTTTGCTTATGTTAGGGAGACAAAAAATAGTTAAAAACATACAATGTAACCAAAACCCAGTAATAAATGGGGGAGAAGCAAAAATGTTTAAAGTATACAGTTTACAGAAAAATCCCCTCCTGATCATTCGAGCATCAAGGCTAAAATATATTTCCATATTTAAACATCTCTAAACTATTACAGAAACTGTAGAAAAATCCTGAAATTAGAGGTTAACTTATTTCAAAATCAATCACTAAAACTCATAATCAAACATGCCACAGGAATCTGTTTTTGTTTAAACAAGTGTTAAGAAACTATCACTCTGCAATAGGATATCAGAAAAGGTATTAATACAGAAAATAAAATTAAGGTAAATTCAGAGGAGAAAACAATTGGTATAAAATGTAGGAAAATAAATGCACGGTCGGGGAATTTGATATAAGGTCTTCAGTCTCATAAGCATTGAACTCCAATTAGTAAAGACTGAAAATAACAGACAACAAGCATTATGTAGTAAGTCTGCTACATACAAGCAGGAATTTGGCCAATTCAGAGGGAAACAATGATTCATCAGCAATTTTCTACACTGAAACGTATAACACAACAATAAATAAAATCACACTCAAAATCAAAATTAGACAGCTTTATATCTTGTAGTTTTCAGCTACAGATGTTAAGAAAAGATGTCACAGACTTGGGTAGAGGAAATGAGATAGATACTGGAAAAAGAAAATTGAAATCAAGTTAATGTATTTAAGAGTTTTCAGTTACAGGTACGGTAGGTATTAAAGAGGAACTATCACAGTCTTTAGGTAAAGGAACTGAGGCAGTTGCTGGTAGGATAAAACTGAAATCAGAATTTTTGTATCTTGCAGTTTTATAACTACAGATACTGTAGATGTCAAGAAAAGATATTGTCTTGGATAAAGGAACTGAAGCAGTAGTTGGCAAGGCAAAACTGAAACCAGGATTGTGTATCTTGTCATTTTCAGATACAGAGACTGGAGGTGTTAAGAAATATCACAGTCTTGAGGAAAAGGAACTGAGACAATAGCTTGAAGAACAAAACTTAAACCAGGGTTGTGTGTCTTGTAGTTTTCAATAACAGTCTTGAGAAAAAAGAATTAGGGCAGTAGCTAGTAAGAGAAAACTGAAACCAGGGTTGTTTATCCTGTAGGTTTCAAGGTTTCAGCTACAGATACTGTAGGTGTTAAGAGATGACATCAGTCTCGAGGAAAAGGAATTGAGGTAGTAGCTGGCAAGACAAAACTGAAACCAGGTTTGTGTATCTTGCAGTTTTCAGCTACAGATAACACAGCAGTTTAGAGGGGTGATATGTCAAGGTTTCAGGTCAGGCACTTTGGACTGTTAGAAAGGAGAGTAGATCAAGGCAGCAGCAAACAATGCCCAAGAAGCAATAATCCAATGAAGTTCAGAGTAAGATTTTGTACCATCAATATAGTTGCGGGCAACAAACTTCATCGTCTCGTCTAAGATAATAACGGGAAGAGAGATCTTCATGACGGCCATCCACTCTTCAAGTGTCAGTGGACACACAGAGAATACGGTCTGTTAATAAGAAGATCATTAAAAACAACATGAAAGTAAAATAAGGTTTATATAAACTTTACCTTACAGAAAAAAAAAGTCCGCGGTACAAATGTGTATTAAATAACACATGTTCTACAGTAATTCCTGTACACTGAATCCAAAAATGATATCCATTTTTCTCTATCATGTACAGTTTTTCACAAAACGTAATAATGCAATACACAAAAAAAGGACCACAACACGTAGTTTTGAGACTAAAAGATGTAGATTTCATAAAACAAAATCAGGATGAATGAGGATGCATATTCATTTGACATCAATGTTCTTCCCTTTTCTTCAGTTTGTTTGTATTTTTGTTAACAAACATAATAATACAAAGTGTTCCTTGTGGTAAACGATATATAATTTGATATAAATAAAAGCTTTTCTTTTCTACACAATTTGTACAAATCCTTACATGATAGAAAAAAAAATGAACATTATTTTTCGAAATCTGTGTAGCTGAATTATGGAAAATCCATTATCAAAACCAAAACAACTTTTATAAAGTTTAAATTCACAGACCTGTGCAATCTATATAGAGATTCATTAGGAGGATTGTTGTTTGATTTTGTGCTAACAACAACATAAAAAAATAATAATAATTAATGGTAAAATATAATTTATAGTACCATGTTTTAAGTGAAGCTTAAATAAATTATCCTTAAAGGATTTGTTGTTAAAACTTTGAACAAAACATACAAATAAACTATATGTACAAAAATAATACAAGTAAAATAGTATAGTGATTCAAGATGTTAAGGCATTTGCTCTGCATGTAGTTAAGAGTGAATGATCATAATCTCATGTTACAGATATGAGAAGGATGAACTTTTCAATGAATTGCTCATAAACCATGCAGATATTTCTCAGTTTAACCATCACAATAAGAAAATATAAAAAGGTACTGACTTTCAGCTTTTTTTTATTGCAAAGTAAACAGAAGAACCACACTTCTTAGCTATCAGTTTTTTCTTTCATTAAAGTCTGATTTTGTTTAGATAATCTAATAACAAGTGCTGAATATTAAGTTTCTATCAGAAATAATCATTATCTTACACTACAAGAAAAAATGACTAACTATTCACAGGTTTGTTTCATAATCAAGCACCAAAGAGGGGAAACCATGGAAAACTTTACCTACTAAAAGGAAACCAATATACAAGATCGAGGTGTATAAATAAGGTCATGAATGGAAAGAAGGTATTTTAATACTGAAATGATATCAGTGATTAATGCATCAGATTATGAATTGTAAAGTCACGAGATGAGAAAGCATGTTAATAGTGAAAGGGTATCAATACATAAGGTCATGAAGTGTAATCAAGGAGAAAGAAGGCATTTCAATACTGAAATAAAACTGATGTGCAAGCTCATGAAGTAAGAAGGCATTTACCAAAAGGATGTTAATTTACAAGATCATGAAATAACAAGGCACTTACTGAAAGGATTTCAATGTATAAGATCATGAAGTGTAAGGTCATGGAAAGTGCCATTGCTGACACTAACCACAAGTTGGTCCAAGGAGGCATGGCAACAAGAGACTGGTTTTCTGAAAGACTGGTTAATAGAAATAAAATTTAATTATTCTTTCGTCCTGACAAAAAAAAATTAGCATATTTTATTGCATAATTTATGATCTATAAAAATCAAAAGCTAACTAGAAAACAAAAAAAAATTATTAGCTTCAGCAAATGTACAGAAAGTGAAGTAAATGCAGAAACAATATTCATACATGGTATTTCTTAATTTTGAACTGATAGGCTAGAGGGAAGGCAGTTAGTCAATGGCATCCATCACTAACTCTTCTGCTAACTGAGTAATGAGATTTGACAAAGGATAAACAAACCTGATCTGAACAATAACCAAGATCTTGAAGTTAATAGCACTTGAAACATTAACATAATAAACTAACAAAATAAAACAATCTGTCACAGCCAAAGTCCAATAATATCCAACGCTTTGTTGGTTATTGTTCAGTACACAGTCACAAAGTATCATAATAAAGCCTCAACATGGAATTCAAAACATCTTCTTCATTAAGCATCCTCAAGCAGTTGTTGTCCACACATAATGTTTGCATAATAAAACAGAATAGTCCTTGTTAATAGTAATCAAAATGTTTTTTCTAGAGTCACTGGTCTATAAAAGAAACACAATTTAGGAATTTATGACAAAAAAAAGAGAATATAATTTTATGATCAATACTGATTATTCCAAAAATTTATTATTGCATATAACTAACTAAATAAACAAATATGTATATAATTTAATTAATGAAAAGCTTGAGTCACTTGTGGATTTTTAATGTTTCTTGAAACTATATTTCTTACCTGTTGAGAGCATTCAACATTTCAATTGTTACCAAAACAGACAAGGCCATGGTCATAGGATGAGGGTCATTGAAAACATTACAGTCCACTCCTTTAAAGTTTTCTGGGTCACCAGGGCAGCTCAGATGGTGGGTCAGTTGGTAATAATTCATGTGGGGTCCATTAGCAGCCACCATAAACCACCAGGCAGCAGCACCAACTGTCCCAGCACCAACATAAGCTGCGAATGGTAAAAGTTATCCATTATCTTTTACAATCCAGTGAATTTAATTACAATCAATTATGAAAATAATAATTTTACTCAAAACCACTTTTCTAGTTTCAAGCTTTTATTAAACATTCAATAACTTTTTTATATATATATGTTTTTCGTCTACCCACCTTCTTACCCTCTTTGTCTTCTCTCCACCTATCAACTCACCCATTTTGTTTTCTCTCAAACCAATCATTTAACCATTTTGTTTCCTTTCCGTCCAACCACTCACTTTTTTTACTTTCTCTTTATTTCCACTTAAACAAATTACTCAAAATACTTATTGTAAAGAAAATTACAATTAAAAAATTTCCAAAGCTAAACATGCGTCTCATTTAAAACATTATACTCTTTAAAATTATATTTATAAATTTAAAATAGCTTTTGCTACTTAAACTTGACTATTTTACAACCTTTTTGACAATGGAAATAAACAAATGTTTGACTACACTTTTGAGTTCAACTCCGAATTCATCAAATGATCCTGAATGTCACTCAAAACACTGGGATAATAACATCAGTTTGTAGCCTATGCAATCTTGATGAATGCCAGAGTTGTACAGAGGACTGAGTAAATTATATTAAAAAAATACTTTTAAGATGCAAATCATCAAGCAATATGTCAACCACAGCTGATATAAATTCCCAGCATAATGGCATGTATCAGAACTACATTTTACACTGACATTTCATAGGTAGCATGATGTTATCAAAAAAAATATTGTTTTTGGGAAAGATAGGTAACAGCCCTTTCTGATACAAAATATTCATACATTCATATATGCACCTAACACTCAAGGCAGAATAGGCATGTGCCCTCCCACTTTTTTCAGTTAGTGTATATACACTATTATTAACAACTATGTTAGATTGACTTAGTTTTTTTTGCTCCTCCATCACTTTCCAACAGAGCTGAGAATGAAAGGCGTATTCATGTTATTCTATATGAAGGCATACTGGTGAAGTTGTTAGATGCAACACCATAGACTTATGTGTGATAAGACTGTTGAAATGAATGTTAAGACTTCATCATCCTTGTACACTAGGTGGAAAGCCTGCATGGAGCATTGTTGTGCTTTTGACAGACAGCCTTAAGATGGAGCCTTTTACAAAGATAGACTACTTTCAAGGATCATGATCAGAAGTGGTGCACAGACTATGAAGATGTGATGAAGCTCTAAAGTTATTCTATAGAATGTATTCAACTTCTGTAAACACATTTAATGCAAGTTTTCTGGTACTATTCAGTATAAATAGAACAGTAACAATACAATTTTACAGAGGAAAAGAGAGGGAATAAAGAAATGAGCTCATCATCCATAGAGAAAAAAACTATTTTCATTTATTGCTTTCATTTTCTTCTTTAGTTGGTTTACTAAACAGTTATTATCTGGCAAGTTGGTATTCAGTGTATTCATATTTCTGTTCAGTTCTTAATTTCTTCCACAACAGCAGATGGCCTCTCTATCCACACAGCAACCTTTAGCTGCTGTGGGGCTATAGGAAAGATAAAAAGTGCAAAGTTCCTCATAGTATTCAGCAATAAAAAAAAGGCTGTTGCATTTAATATGGGTCAACTGTGTGGGTTTTGTAGCTTCATCTCTAAGAATTACTTATCAACATTTCTATGCAGGTCCCCCATATCAAGAGATCCTTGGCAGCTGCCTTGCCTTAAGGCTATCTTTGGCTATCCAGTTCCTAACTTTACAATAATAAGTTAGCTATCCCTGTCTAGTTCCTAATTCCAAAATGACAGATGGCTTACCCCTATTTAATTCCCAATTTCACTTCTAATAGGTGGGCTATCCCTATCCAGTTCCAAATTCCACATGGCTAGATAGCCTACCTCTATGATAGATGGCCTACTCCTATTCATTTTGTAATTTCACATCTAACAGATGGTGTACCCCTATCCATGTTTAGTTTCCAACTCCATAAATGATAGTGAATTGTTCTCCTTTTCAAGTTCCTAATTCCACAACTGATATGTAGTGTATCCCGCTTTATGTTCAGTTTGTAATTACACAGCTGAAACCTTCCCCTGTGCAGATTCTAATTTCAAGGCTGTAAGACAATTTATCCCTATTTCTGTTCAGTTCTTATTTTCTGAGCTAATAGATAATATATACCTATTTCTGTTCAGGTGCTAGTTCCACTATTGATCTGTTTGTTCCTGTTTTGTTGCTACTTAAGTCGAAGTTACAGTGGCTGTTACAATAATGAGTGTTTATTACTTACTTGCTTTTTCATTAAATTTTATAAATGCATGCTTCTTAACTTCTGAAAGAACACTATGGTTAGAATCACAGAGTGTAGACTGAAATCTTGAATCAATTATTTAGTTTTACAAAATATCCAACACCAGGACAAAAGGTTTGGAGCTCACATGACATGAGCTATGTTTCTAACATCTTATTTCATACAATTTGCCAGATCAACACTTATAGATAAGGTTAAGTAATGATGTGTAAAGGAACAACAAATATACAAACAGAATACACAACAACCACAGCAAGTAACATCGATTTAAAGGTAATATCTCAATTTCTTAAATAAACAGAATAGTTCACAATACAAAATCAAGTAACTCAAAAAAAAAAGAACAGTAGTTTAAAGGTACTAGCTCAGTTGCTCAAATAAACAAAATGATTCACAATATAAAATATCTCAGTAAAATGTTTTGGAAAATTAAACAAGTTTCCTATTTGATCTCTCAAAGTTTATCAAGACAATTCTTCAGTCAAAAAATGTTTTAAAATTATGTGTGATATAAAGAAGATTTTAAATCTTTTCCTCCAATAACTATACAAGTCAACACCATACATCTTAATTTAACAAATCACCCATATATATATATATATATAACATGCTATAATTAAAAGCTCAAACATTTAGACAACATATTAAGAAATTATGAAATGAAAAGGCACAGGGATACACTCTATATAAGCTGTATAATTAGGAACAGAACAAGGGTAGGGTTATACCATTTATCAATTGTTGTGGAATTGAGAAATAAACTAGAGATAGGCACGCACCATCTGTCCCTTATATGGATTAAACACTACATCATTTTCTGTTAAGTGATGCATATTTGGTATTTTACAATGTTAAGCTTAACTCTTTCATTTTCTTACTCTGGAGATTTTTATGTCATGCAAGGCCTCACACAAGTTCACATATTGCTGTGTATGTATCTTAAACTATCATCAGTCCTGTTAATATGATCACAAAATCTTTTAACAATAGCCTTGTGTATTGAGGATTTTAATAGTACCTTTAAATCCACTACATTTTATTACACATCATGCTGATGAAATGATCTACCAACAAGTACTGCAATAATTTAGTAAAACTCAACTTAAAGCATATAAAAATGTGAATATCATGGATGATTTTTTATCATAAGATACTCCAATATTGACTATAATTGACATTACATTGCAAAACAAATCAAGACATTAATAGTATAAAACAATACCTCCAATAGCCATGTAACGGAAGAAAAGCCATCCAGAGATTAGTCCCTCGTCTGCCTTGCGAGGAGGACGATCCATGATATCAAGATCTGGAGGGTTAAAGCCTAGGGCTGTGGCTGGAAGGCCATCAGTAACTAAGTTCACCCAGAGCAGCTGGACAGGAATCAAGGCCTCGGGTAAGCCTAAAGCAGCTGTGAGGAAAATGCTAAATCCAAAAATTAACAGTTTTAGTAAGTTTTTAATCTGAAGAGAATATAATCTTTATACATTTCCTCAGTGCTAATGATATAAATAAAATGATATATATATATATATATATATATACACACACAACAGTCATTGTTTTACTATCCATCACTTACTTCAAGTACAAATAAATAGAAAATAAAAAGTTCCTGAGAAATGAGTAATTTTTATATGGCTTCATGCACCTAAAGAAGCTACGTTTGGTAATGAACATTATTCTTATCTTACTAACATAAGTACCTCTAAGTTTCCTACAGTTTACAGGCATTTCTTTAATTGTACTATGCTGATAAAAGTGATAGTTTACATATTTTTAACCAGTAAAGTACTTTGGATAATTAAATATTTCAATCCCCTCCAGTCAATAATACTCAGAAAATATCCCTCTGTTTCCTGTAAATTAATTTTTTCACAACGAGTTTATGTACCTAACATATTTAGGTACTATTTCTACAGAAAACATAAAATGATAAAAAATAAAAATGTTCAAAGTACGTATTTTAACAATACTGTGAAACCGAGAAACTATCACAAAACTTATTACCAGTTTACACTTTCCCTTACTAAATGTATTAGAGAATCATGTTGACAGTTTACACTTTCCTTTATTACAAAAGTATCAGAGAAAATGTTGACAGTGTACACTATCTTGCTATACAATTACAAGAGAAACATGTTGACAATTTACACTTTCCCTTACAGTAAAATTATCAGAGAAACATGTTGAAAGTTTACACTTTACATTACTAAAACATTATCAGAGAAATATGATGATAGTTTACCTTTTCAATTAATACAAAATTATCAGAGGAATATATTGACAGCTAGCACTTTAACTAACTATGACAGAAACATTTTTACGGTTAACATTTTACCTCACTACTTCACCAATGTTTGATGAGATTAGGTAACGGATAAATTGTTTCATATTGTTATAAATGGCTCTTCCTTCTTCAACAGCAGCTACAATAGTGGAAAAATTATCATCAGCCAATACCATTTCTGCAGCTGACTTGGCAACTGCAGTTCCCGAACCCATAGCAATACCAATTTCAGCTTTCTTGAGGGCAGGGGCATCATTAACGCCATCACCAGTCTGAAAAAATGTCAGATTAGCTAGTAAAAAATCACAAAAGACAAGCTCACTGATATCATACAACTAGTAAACTTAAGCTCTTCTAAAAATTACATGATGAATTGCATCTAAGTATGGATTATTTCTCTTTTATAACCCTGTGACTTATGTATATAAAACTACTGTTGGTAAAATCAATCATTACTTATGAAGGATGATAAATTTGGATACAACTAAAGAAGAATGACTGCATAAAACAGAGAATGTTTTTTTAATTCAGCCCAATGGTAGATTATTTGGGTGATGAGTTGAAAGAGTCTGTACAGTCCCACATGAGCCACACTTTCTGTGAAAATTAAAATGCAATGTACAAAAAATACATAACCTGCTAATCACCAATTACAAAAAACATAAAATATGTATGAGCATACCATAGCCGAGATCTCTCCATCTGCTTGAAGAAACTCTACGATTTTACTTTTGTGAGCTGGTTCCACGCGGGAGAAGAGTCGAGCTCGAGCACAGGCTAATCGCTGTTCATTAGGAGAAAGATCATCAAACTCACGGCCCGAGTAGGAGAGGCCTGAGGTGTTCTCATTTTCACCAAACACTCCAATTCTGCGACAGATAGCTTCTGCTGTAGCCTGTTCAAAGATTAGGAAATAGGTAAAAACTGATATTAGATGACTGTTGATGTACATGTCACTCTGCTGTAACTCAATAGTGAATCCATTTTAAAAAAGTAAATCAAAATACACAACAGAAAAATAAATACAAAATATATTAAATAATGAGCAATACAACTGTACTTAGAAATACTTAACCAAGTTTGAACAGTTTTTAGTAACATTTTAGAAAGATTTTTCTTCCAAACATCACTGCAAAAGCTCCGCTTTTATATTGAATCATTGTTGTACTTTACAAAAACAAAATGCAACTACCATATTATTTCAAAATATAAATTTCAATTTAGAAATGAATACAACAGTTAAAACAATTAACAGTTAGGAAAACAAACAGCCATACCTTGTTGTCACCAGTAATAACAATTACTCGGATACCAGCATTTGCACATCGAACAATGGAGTCAAAAACTTCCTTCCTTGGTGGATCCAACATCCCTACAACTCCAACAAATGTCATGTTAGCCTGAAAACAAAATTAATTTTATAGGTCTCACAGCACAGTAAAAAAATGTGCACAATATTCATCTGAACTGGTAAAATGGTAACAAGGCAATTTCTGCCTTACAAAAAGAATAAAATTTAAAACATTTCTGGTTGAGATTTGACAAAGTTCAAGTTTGAGGCAAACTTCAAAATTCTTCTGATAAAAAAAAAGTATTAATACTATCAGTGTAAGACTAACATGAAAAAATTCAAACATAAGTAAAGTATTGGGATAAAATAGTACCAGAGATTAGGAGGTTGCCAACGATGAATATTATAGTCCAATTGTTTTACTAGTTCTTCCAGTTGCTCTTGCTAATAAGTAAACAAATTATCTAGTAGAACATGTAGTATGAACCTGGCTTAGAATGAATTTTAAAGAACTGCCACTATACAAGTTGATGATTGGCAACACTATTGCTACTACAGCATCACACTGTTCTAAAAATACAAACATTCTGCATCGTAAAGAGCTTGTATTTTGCTGCACAATCATTTAGAAGAAAAGTTAAAACAACTGTTTGATTGAACAAAAGTCTTGAAACAATGTATTTTTATAAATTAAATTGTAGTTATTCAAATATAACATATATATATATATATTTTCATTCTTGATTTTACTACTTACATTTAAAATGGTAGTACTAGAATAATAATTTCATTTAGCTGTTTACGTATTCAAGTGCTGCTCACTCAACCCTTTGGTTTAGTAAATATAACATAACATAATGTTTTGGGAAAACATGGATGGGACATATTGATCCATCTCATCTGTTCCATCCTCTAAACTAAACTAAGACTATTAATAAATAAATTTTTAAAAAATCTTAAAGCCAGCCCTTATCATTCATATACTTATCAAGTTTTCTCTTAAACTCATATAAATTTAGTACCTCCAAAACATCCGAAGACAACCCATTCCAAAGGCCAACCACCCTGTTAGAAAAAAAAAACTGTTTTAACTGAAGGTGACTCCTACCCTGCCAAAATGTATACTTGTCTCCCCTAGTCTTACTATTCTCACTGTTAAGTATGAAAAAAAAAAAGATGATGCATCAACACTATCAATTCCCTTTACAATCTTAAACACCTCAATCAGATTCCCCCCACCAACTCTTCTTTTTTCTTCAAGAGAAAACAATTT